GACCATCAATAATCTTTCTTCTAAACAAAAATAAAATAAAAAAAAAAGTTCAAAAAAAAAAAAAAAAAAAAAAAAAAAAAAGAAATGTTTGCCGCATTCTCTCTCCGCCAGTATTAGCCACTTATTAACCGGCTGCGAAAATATTTGCCGAAGGCGCAAAAGCAAAGGAGCGAGAATTGCAGCATCGTTCTGCCACTAATAGTCTGCAGCCTTTTTATAAGTTAACACAGTATTTGCTACAAACTCTGTGTTGCATGGGTGTATGCGCATGTGTGTACGCTGCGTGGTGTGTGTTTGTTTGGGTGCTTGTGTGTTGTGTGTGTGCCTGCATATACGTATGTTTAGTTGTGTGTCGGCTGGTACGTGCGCGCTGCGCGCCTGTGTTGGTCTTGCGTGCTTGTGGTGTGTGTGTGTGTTGGCATTTCGTGTATGTTTGTGTGTGTGCTGCGCGTGCGTTAATGCGCATGCGTTATGGTGTAATGTTGTGTGTATGTGTATGTTGTGTGTGTGCCTGGGTATGCGCATGTGCTGTATGTGGTGTATATGTGTATGTTTGTGTTGTGTGTGCACGGTGCGTATCTGTTGTGTGTGCAATCAATCATCTCACGCGTAGACTAGCTAGCAGATTGTTACAATTGCCCTACACACCGGCAGTCCCGAGTCCTCTCTCTTCATCCTATAGCCCGTATCGTACAGTCAGTTTTGACTTTGGCGCCTTTGCGTACAATTGAAAAGAGACATCTTAAGTTCTAAACCACATGCACAGATAGGCAGCCACCAGCCCATCACAGTGTACAAGTGCATGTAGTCGTAACGACATGGCCGCTAGCATACACCTGACGACGCATGCCGTCCACGACATAACTGGCGCCCGTAGCAGCGAGTCCGACAACATATCAGCCCGCCCCTTGTAGGCGACAGTCACGGACATAGCGGTGCCCCTGGAGTGAGTCCACAACCAGATGGCGCGCCATCTGGAGGACAGTCCATGCCCCGCGCGCTATGTGGGCCGGCGGCCTGGACGCGCGGGCGGCCGCGTGACGGTTAGCGGCTACCGGGCGGCGTAGCCGGAGGGTGGAATAGGCTCCACGCCGTGCGCATGCGTGGGCCAGCGCGGGGTAGTGGCTGAGTGCGGCATTGTGATTGGTGGCGTGGAGACGGCGCGGGGTCTGCCGCTGCTCACTCCCCAGTCGACGTGCGCGCCCCCGCAGCATGTGAGTCATCAAAGCTGGCGTTCGCAGGACTATCTGAGCGCGGCGCTGGCTGCGTAGTGGAAGTGGTGATCGGTCTCTGCAGCTTTTGGCTGAGGTCAATCGTCGTGTGAGGGTATACCTTCCATGCACCAGGTTGGGAGCTGCCAGCCTGCAACCAGTGAAGCGCGTCGGTCGGATCCGATGCCAACATCAAGAGCGCAGACGTTAGGTGTGCGTAGCGTGGAGAGGAACAACAACGATAACGTGATAAGAGAGGAAACGGGGCAAATATAGATGATCAAGTCGTTGGCCGAGGAGCCGAGACGAAAAACACGATGCTAATTGAGAGAAAACGGCGGGAAATGATATGATCAGTGGTGGCCGAAGGAGCAGCAGAAAATCATATGACGTCACGGCAGCATTGTGGCAACATCCATCGGATTTGCTCCGCCGAGCAGTATACACGATGATAATACACATACGCGGTCCATGCGAGCCACGCCGAGGCGCAGGTGGCGTAGGGGCAACTACTGCACCTACCTCTCCGCTAGCACGGTAGTCCCCCCGGCGGCACCTGTAGCTCGCATGCAGGAGTTCTCGGGTAAGCTCGGACATCGCCGTGCGTGAGCCCAGATCGTCCGGCCTGGCCTGCTTGTTGTCTATGCTGATCCGATATCTCAACCCGCTCTCATACCTTCATGCGGAAGCTATGAACGCACGACACGCGGCGGTTAACGAACAGTTCCGTTGGGAAATTCTTCAGTTAAAAAGCTTTTCCAGCATAAAACAGATAATATTCTATTTTGTTGCGAACTTTCCGTTGAAACAGGCTATTTTAGTGCCCTTTTTATACTTTCCAGACTCTGACAAATCACATTCAAAATTTCTGACAAGGACCCAAGACACGCGAGAAACACTCGAAGTCATTCAGACCTGCAAAACCAAACATTTGAACCATCACAGGCATCTCACCTCGCTCTCTCGCCTCCTCACCTGCACTCTGGTTCGTACAGAGCATGCGCTGTGCAATGGTCATGAAGCGTGCCGGTTCGATTCGTGGGCGGTCCGGCTGCATGATAGCGGAATCTCGATCACCTCTCCATCGATCCTTCGCATGCTGCTGCTGCTGCTGTGCACGGGCGGTGCCGGCCCGCGACCGCGACAGCTGCGCCACGTGGCTTTCGACCTCACAATCGCCCGCCGTGCCCGCCGCCCCCAGCGGCGCCAACGCCAGGGGGCGACTGCCTGCGCCGGCGACGGCCACCATTCTACCGGCATGTTTTCTTGCGCTGGAGCGCTATCAACTACCGGCGGAACGGAAGGAGAAGACGCGGGTTTAGTGAACGACGCAGTCCAGCCAGCGAGAACGGAGCCGCCCAGGGACAGCAGAGAAAATCTATGTATCTCAGCCAAGGCTTGTGACATGATGAAAGCATCAAGCGCCGAGTCTACAGCTGTGCTCACGTCAGCGCGCACGCGGAGGCCCGCGCAATCCTCTATAGCAGGACTCAGCCGGCCCAGCGACGGATACACAGTCAAAACCTGCGGATACCGCTGACACCCACGCCTACAGCAACCGTGCTATTAAAGACGCTGTTGGCCCATCGAGTGCGGTTGTGATATGTGAACTACCTCTATAGAATGGACACCCTGCTCGAGTGGTGGCCTTCGTATATAAGGTTTTGTACCTGTATATCCACGGACACCCGGCACGTATGCAGCCTATGGTTGCTCAATGCCTTCATGGCAGCCACTGCATCTTACCAGAAGCCGACACCAATACTTGAATTCACGCAGAGCGAGAGAGAGCGAGAGAGACGAGAGAGAAAAAGAGAAGTGAGAAAAAACGAAAGGCAGAGAGAGATAGAGACCATAGACAGAGAGCGCCAGATAGAGAAAAAAAAGACGGGCAGAGTACAGTATGAGAGAGAGAACGAGAGCATGCTACCGCTTGGCCCCGCCGTGCAAGTGTCGTCGCTCCTGTGGTTCCAGTCACCCATCCCTTCTGTCCTACTGCGACAGCCCGGGGTTTTGCCTGCCAGTACTGGACACGGCTGCGGCAGGCAGCGTCCGACGCGCGGCGCGGTCCCGCCAGCCCCGCTGGTCTGCCGCCAAAACGAGAAAACGAGACAGCGCACAGGCACGGACACGGCTGCGACTCGTCGTCAGCTCCCCCGCTGCGCGACTCACCTGTCTGCTGTTCGCGACACTGCTTGTAGCAATAACTCTCTCACACGTGAGCGGGCCGTCGCCTGACGGCTGCTAACCGTCTGTAATAGGCTGTCCATGTTTACGCCGCTCGTCACCCCTGAAACAAGAGCAGCCAGCTGACTGTCCTGCAGACGCCTGCGCATCTCGTCGACGACGAACGCCCCGGGCGGAAGCGCACCTCTCGCCGGTGCCTGCCCTGCCTCTCTCACACGACTGCTGCCCCTGCCTGCCTTGCTACAGACTTGGCCCTGCCCTGCAGTCTGGACTGTCGGGCGGGGGCGGAGTGCCTGGGGGTGGTCAGTAAGGGCAGTCCTGGATCGGAATCATAATGGTATCCGGGAACTGTAGCATGCAGGGGGGTAGTGTCGTGCCGGGCTGCCGACAGTGTTACGAGATGTACAGCAGAGCTAGGTAGCTGTAGGCCGTCCTGTATACAGAGAGTTGCGCCCATGACCGCAGTCGGAACAACAAGTGCCGTCATAGCCCGACGCGGCTCATCTAACGTCTAGCGTCGGTCAGTGACTCTGCTGGTGGAGATGCAGGATTCTAGTACAACCCTGTTTAGTCCCAAATGTGTTCACAATACACGCCTGAAACAGTGGAATGACCAGGAGGTATCAGCCGAACCATTACTCAAAAGAATGTCTGTTGGCGATCCGTCTACTGAAGTCTGCCACCCAGCGCCGGCGATGGCGCGTTACGCTTTAACGGTCTTCAGATTAAAGATGGAATGCCTCCCATTCATTCGCTTAGCTCAGTCAACAAACTATTTGCAAGACAAATAGAACCACTCAGTCCATTTACCTACGGCAAGCCCTACAGCTGCAAATCTGCAATTAGAGAGCTGCGCCACCGCTGCAACCACATTGAATGCCAGTGCAAAAAAAACTGCGCCCAACACCATCAACAGCCATGCGCAGTGGCCATACCGTTACCATGCTAACCATACTGACAGTACAGAGACATAGAAAGTATACGATTTAATCCCGAAGTATACACCTTCTTTAAGCCAATCTTAGCTTTTGAAAGTTTACTTGTGACGATTAGAGCCTCACTATCATCAGCGCATGATATTTAAGATTCTACTAGCCAAACCCGGCAGTCAAAATTCTTCTAACAGACAGTCAACAATCCAAGTTCTAAACCGTCTCCTGTGGGAGGGTCAAAAGTTAGTCCGACAACTTACTCTTCGCATGTCAGCAGAAAGGACACTTCATTGCGTCCTTCAATAAAGCCATAAAATGACCTAGCGTCACCGCTGAAAACAAAAAAGCTTCTTCAATCGCTTCCGTCCAGACTCATTTCCTCAGAAAAATGTCTGAAAATCTGCTCATGTGCCCTCAGCTGACTTATGACCTCCGACGCCTCCAATTTGGCACAGTGATTGCGGTTTTCCCTACCATGATGCTACTCACCGACTATACGAGCCTATGTCGAGCGGGCGCGCGTTTAGATTTGCGCCGCAATTCTGCATCTTCCTTCCGATAGCCACCGCCCTGCCGCCACCACGTCGTCGTCGTCGAGCCTAGATGGCGCTCACCTCAATGTGAGCTTCTTCAACTGTTCGTCGACGCCCGACACGGACGATCGCATCATCAGGGTGTTCGTGCGCGTTGTCTCCACCCTCTCCGCCTTCTACAACTTCACGTACTCGCCGCACTACGTGTGCGGGGACCGCGGCATAGCTGGCGTGTTGCGAGACCTCGTAGACTCCACCTACGACGTGTCGTGTAACGTCATCAAGGTGCCGGAGCGAGGGCGAAGCGTCAGCTTCCTAGAGACGGTCATCTACAGCGACACCGTGTTCATCGTCCGCGCCCCGCCGGCCGTCGTCGAGACTCTCAGCGTGTTCTCGCCGTTCAGCGATGCAGTCTGGGCAATGTTCTTCGCTTACGGCGTCGTCAACACCCTGCTGCTGTCCGCGCTGCACCGCCGCCACCGACTATCCCTGCCGGGCCCCATCGCATCCCCGCCGGGCCCCATCGCATCCCTGCCAGGTTCCATCGCATCCCCGCCAGGCCCAATTGCATCCCCGCCGGGCCCCATCGCATCCCCGCCAGGCTCCATCGCATCCCCGCCGGGCTCGATCGCATCCCCGCCAGGCTCCATCGCATCCCCGCCGGGCTCGATCGCATCCCTGCCGGGCCCCATCGCATCCCTGCAGGGTTCCGTCACATCCTTGCCGGGTCCCGCCTCCCCACCGGCTCCCACCTCCCCACCGCCTCCCGCCACCCTACCGGCTCCTGTCTTCCCACCGGCTCCCACCTCCCCACCGGCTCCCGATTCCCCGCCAGCTACCACCTTCCCATCGGGTCTCTCCTCCCCGCTGGGTCCCAGCTCCCCCTTACGGGGTCCCCCTGCCTCTCCTTCAGCTCCCACCTATCTACCGGATCACTCATCCCCGCCAGCTCCCACCTCCCCGCCGGGCCCCACCTCCCTGCCAACTCCCGCGTCCTCGCCGGGCACCGCCTCCCCTCTCGTCAGCTACTTCTCGATGTACGTGATCGGCACGCTCGCGAATCAGGGCGGCACGTACAACCCGGTGCACGCGGCGGCGCGCCTGCTGCACACCTCCTGGTGGCTGTTTGTCATTGTCATGCTGGGTCTCTACACTGGCACCCTCGTCAGCTTCCTCTCCGTGCGAACCACCATCGCGTACCCGTTCACGAACCTGCGCGAGGCTGCAGAGGGCGCCGTCGTGCCCGTCGTGTGGCGCGGCTACGCGATAGAGAGCCTCCTGCGGGACAGCCCCCCGCAGTCGGACTTCGGCCGGCTGTGGGCGAAGGTGAGCGCTGACCCGCGGGCGACCATCGAACACGAGGAGCAGTTCGCGGAGCGGCTTATGTCGGGAGACTACGCTTACATCGTCAACGACTGGTCCGGAAGCTCCCTCGTCGAGCAGGACTACCGGCAGACGGGCCGCTGCCGCCTCAGCATCATCCCCGTAGACTACAACGTGAGAATCAGCTGCGTGGTCGCCCCCGAGAGTCCCCACAAGGAGGCGCTGAACCGCGGGATCCGCGCGCTGAGCGACAGCGGCCTCCTGGCAATGTGGCAGCGGCAGGCGATGTCGAGGGTCAGTGCGTGCGCGCCTCGCGCCATCGCCGACGTCGTTGATAACAAGCTGAGTCTGTCTCACCTGCGCAACATCTTCAGGTTCCTGCTGGAAGGCGTCATCGCAGGGCTGCTGGCGCTGATGGGCGAGCGCGCGGCGCAGTGTCTCATACACAGACTACAGAGGAGACGCCTGGCTGTGTACGCCCCTAACGTAGGCGTCTGATGATGCTGCTGCTGCTGGGAGGAGGGATGGAGAGAGAGATGAGGGGGCGGCGGCTATGTGTGTATCACTGACGTGTGTGTGAACGAAGCTGCAGGTGCGGTGGTGGCGATGTGCACTCTTTTTAATTGAACGTTGTAGTATTCGTTTGGGCTAGCGATTCAATTATAGCTTGTGTGTACACAGTGTGTTTTATTTCTCGACCTGTAGCTCTCACTGCAAAAATAAAAAATGTTGCTATTCAATGACTGCCTGTTGTTGATTCTGCTGCCTATTACTTTGCTATTCTGCTGCATGCTCATCCATCAAACATCTATCCATCTGTCACTCCACCCAGCCACCCAGCCATCCATTCAACCATACAACCACCCATCCATCCTTCTATTCATCCATTCAACCATAGAACCACTCATCCATCCTTCTATTCCAAATCCATTCAACCATGAACCACTCATCCATCCTTATTCATCCATTCAACCAATAGAACCCACTCATCCCATCCTTCTAATTCAATTCCATGATTCAAAAACCATTTGAACCACCCATCCATCTTCTACCTCAAAACCAGCCACTATCCACCTCCATCCATCGAAACACTTCAAGACAACAACGTGAATAATAGAAACATGTACATGATCACCACACTCAGTTTTTTTAACTAGACATGATTGGTCCTCATTGTCACTACGCATATCTTACCATGCTTAATGTACACGCAAATGCCCGTCAGCGTAGTGACTGAGTGGGATGGGCGCTGACTGTTGGGTGTGGGTGGAGGGGTTAACAGCGCTACGGGTAGGCTTGGGGTGCGGACGGCAGTTTGCTGTGGATGAGGGCCGACGGGAGTCGGATGTGCTGAACTTATTTAGGCCTTATACTATCGTGTCGCCTGACGTGGACCACGGCAAGCACGTGGCCATACATATATATATATATATACTATATAATCCACGCACTCACTGCTGCTCGCTCTATAGTGTCCCTATCGCTTCTTCGCACTCGCAACGGTTTCCATGAGGCGCCACGGTTATCGTTTACAAATGTGGTTTGACGGGGCGTACACTGCTGCTGCTTGCTGGCCACTGTTTCGACGAGCAAAACATTTCCTCGCTCACTCAACTTACATTATTAACCGAGTGGTCCCTTATATGAAGGGGTGGGGGGCTGATCACTGTGGACATCACGACTGCGCTGCTGTTGCATGCGGGCTACCCTCACATAGTAGAAAACATACAAGGTCTCTCTCTCTCTCACTCACCATGACTCACTCACTACCTCTACTCCCCCCTCCCCGCTAACACGACACAACCACGGAGACTGGTCACTATCACGCACGCAGGCACATACATGTACATAACGCGCAGGCACGCGCATGTACATAACACGCAGGCACGTGCATGTACATAACGCGCAGGCACGCGCATGTACATAACGCGCAGGCACGCGCATGTACATAACTACGCAAGGCACGGCATGTACATAACGCGCAGGCACGCGCATTGTAAGCATACACGCGCAGGCACGCGCATGTACATAAACGCGCAGGGCACGCGCCATGCTACAAACGCGCAGGCCACGTGCATGACATAACTGGCGCAGGCACGTGCATGCTACATAACGCCGGCAGCGCACGTACAAATAGGCATGGCATACTTATAACGCGCACGGCATCGTACATGTACCATTAACGGGCGCACGGCTAACGCTCATAACAGGCACTAACATAGCCGCGCAGGCACGTACACGTACATAGCACGCAGGCACGTACACGTACATAGCACGCAGGCACGTACACGTACATAACACGCAGGCACGTACACGTACATAACACGCAGGCACGTACACGTACATAACACCAGGAGTAGATAATAGGTAGACCCTATAGAGTAGACCCCATTATCTACTCCTGATAACACGCAAGGCACGTACCACGGTACATAACACGGCAGGCACGCTACACGTACATAGCACGCCAGGCCACCGTACACGTACATAACACGCAGCCGACACTTTAATCACAGGGCGCACATAGCAAGTAAACGCCAGGCACGCACACGTACTATACGCACCGCAGGCAACGCACACGTACATGACCAGACACGCTAGGCTTGCACGCTTACACGTACATAACACCGCAGGCACGTGCATGTTACATAACATCGAGGCACGCACACGTTACATAACACGCAGCGGCACGTACAGTACTACATAAACAGCAGGCATGCACACGTATACATAACACGCCAGGCACGTACACGTAACATAAACACGCAGGCCACGTACATGTAATCACACGGCAGGCAGTACACGTACATAACACGCCTACGCAGCACGTGGCATTGTACATTAACATGCAGGCACGTACACGTACATAACACGCAGGCACGTACATGTACATCCCACGCACGCACGCACGCACGCACACGCTCTTTCACCGAGTTTCTACAGCAGCATCGCGAGGAGGCGTGGAGGAGGTCGTAGCCACAGGGACACCACGCAAGCGTCACTGAGCCGCCGCGGACACAAACCACAAGCAGGCGACCCCTCCCTCTACAATCCCTTCACCCCCCGCCGCCGAGCATAACCACACCACGACCCTCCCTCCTCTCAAATCCCCTCACCCCCCGCGCGCCGGCACAACCGCAGCACACCGTCCTCCCCTCTCATTCCCCTCACCCCGCCGCCGCGGCATAACACAGCACGACTTCCCTCCCTCTCAATCCCCTCACCCCGCCGCCGCGGCATAACCACAGCACGGACCCTCCTCCCCTCTCAGATCCCTCAACCCCCCGCCGCGCGCACCAAACCACAGCGTGACCCCCCCCTCTCAAATCCCCTCACCCCCGCCCGCCGCGGCCACAACGCAGCACGACCGCCCTCCCCTCCCAATCCCTCACCCCCCGCCGCCGCGGATAACCACGAGCAACGACCGTCCTTCCCTCTCAATCCCCCTCACCCCCCCGGCTGCGGAAACTTTGCCACACGGTGCGGAAACACCGCGAATGTCGGGCTTGGCACTAAAAGCTAAAGCTCCACTGTCTAACACTAGCAAACTTTAGTTTGCAAACTCGAGCCAAACTCCGAGTTCGAGCAAACTCGATCACAAACTCGGAACAACTCGCGCAAACTCGAGCAAACTCCGAGTTCACTGTAGCTGACTGTGAATTCCAATGTTGCAATGTCCAAGTTGTCTATCTGCAGGCGATCACATGTGACTACAAACTTTGTCATTTGATTGGCTCTGAGTTATTCCCAAAACTCATCAAACTCGAGCAAAAACTAGTTGTTCAAGAAAGGTTGACGCCTAACTTTCTGCCAAAACTTCTGCCAAACTAGGTTTTGCCGAAGTTATCCAACTGCGTCTACAATGGCAAACTTTGGGAAAACGTTTTCTTGGCCCAAACATCGGAGTTGCTCGAGTTGCTTCGAGTTTGCCAAACTCAAAGTTTTGTAGTGTTAGACAGGGCTTTAACACCATAAACAACCCCCCACCCTCACACGCGACACACATAACGTGTAAAATGCAAACTCCCAATCCCCACGCGCTGTTTTCATTGCCAATCAACAAAAATTGCAAAAAATTCCATATAACTTGCAGATACGAATATTTACAAAAACCTTATCGCTCTAAAAAGTCTAATAAAACTCACGTGCCACCCCACACCCTATATATAATATAATATATTAATATATATCCAGGGTTTTCTTCCCTACGTTGCGCAAAGGGGCGCGCGCGCCCCGTTTGGAAAAACTCCCCTGTTTTGAATCGTTTGCGGCCCCGTTGAATTTCCAACCACAATAAAAAGTTTGCCAGCGCAGGAATCGATCGTCAAGAATTGCGTATCGAACCAGACAATCCCGACGGCCGGTGTATTTTTTTACCATACACGCATGCACTGCAGACAGTAAACAAAAGTTAAAGCCTTCTGACAATGCCACAGTTAACCTGTCCACTAACTGTTCACTGGTTACACCGACTCGGCTATTCTTATATATAACACAGAACTCCAATTACCGGTCTCTATGGCTGTGGTGGCGGATTTTACGCATAATTAGTCTTGACGTACAAAATAACAACGGCCCCCGGAGGACCCCCCTAGTTTTTCCCCTCCCCCCTTTCCCCCCTAGTTCCCCCCTCCCCCCTCCCCCTACCCCTTTTACCCCCTCCCCTCCCCTGTTGAATTTCAATCCTGGAGAACCCTGTATATGGTATCGTATATATATGTACTGTATACACACGTGGATTGTTGTGAAACATATATATAGCGGGCCCTCGGACCCAACACATGCACCATTCACATAATCTAGAAGTTGCGATCTTCTCTCCCAGATTAGCCACTTAAATTAACCCGGATGCGATAAATATTTTGGCCGACAGCAAAAGGCAAACGAGCGAGAATTGGCAGATCGTTCCTGCACTAAATAGTCCACCTGTTATTAATTCACAAGATATTTGTACAAACTTCTGTGTTGCATGTGTTATGCATGTGTTACGTGCGTGCGTGTGGTGTTTGTTTATGGGTGCTTTGTGTTGTGTGTGGTGTGCATATAAGTATGTTTGCTGTTGTGCGCGTGGTACGTGCGGCGCGAATTTTGTGTCAACCCTGTTTTGTTTGGTGTGCTGTGTGTGTGTGTGGGTGCATATTTGTGTATGGTTTTGTGTGTGTGTAGTGGCCTCGTATGGCTGCATTGCGTGTATGTGTTGTTGTGTGATGAGGGATGTTTTTGTGTGTGTGCGCGTGCGTCATGCGGCATGCATGTTATGTGTGGTATATGTTGTAGTGTTGTGTGTGTGTTGCACGTGCGTATGTTGTGTTGTGCATCCATCATCTTTCACGGTATGACTTAGTAGCAAATTGTACAATGCTTTACACCACCGGCATCCAGTCCTCTCTCTCTCTATTCTTTCAGTTTTGCGCTTTGGCTTTGTACAATGAAAAGAACATTCTAAAGTTCTAAACCACATTGCACCCAGATAGGAGGCACCACCCATCACAGGAATGTAACAAAATGTGCATGGTAGGTCTTAAACGACATCGGCCGGAGGCACCACCATGACGACGATCGGTCCACGAACATTAAACTAGGCCGCCCCCATGCAGCGGAAGTCACAAAACATAATCAGGCGCCCCCTTGAGGACGTCCACGGAACAATAGCCGGTGCCCCCTGGAATTGAGTCCACACAGTGGGCCGGCGCATCGGAGTGGACAAGGTCCCAATGCGCGCGCATGGTGGGGGGCGGCCGTAGGGGGCGCCGCGTGGACGGGGGCTACCGCGCGGGTAGCCGCGGGTGGAAATGGTAGGCGTCCCACCGCGGCCATGGTGGGCCGGCGAGCGGTAGTTGGTTGCGCATTGTGATGGTGCGTGTAGACGCGCGGGGCTCTTGCGACTGGGACTGCCCATCGCGGTGCTGCGCCGCCGCAGCATGGTGGAGTCATCAAGCTGGGTCGCAGACATCTGAGCGCGGCTGGCTGGTAGGTGAATGGTGAGGTTTCTGCTGCAGCTGGCTGTAGGTCAATTCGGTCGTTGTGCGAGGTTAACCTCCATGCACCAGGTTTGGGACCTGCAAGCTGGCAAATCAGTGGCAGTCGGTTCGGTGGTCGATGGCAAACATCACAATCGCAACGTTAATGTAGTGACGATAGCCGTGGGAGATACAACAAACGATAAGTGAGAGAGACGGCCGTCGGCAAAATAATCAATATCATCTGTGCGTGCGAAGGAGCAGAGAAAAAACACGATGCTAATTGAAAGAAACGGCGGATGTCGGAAATAAGATCAATGCGTGCCCGACAAGGAGCAAGAAGAAAAACATGACCGCTACGCAGCATGTGGAACATGCCATGTCGATGCCGCAGCGATGTATACACGATGATTGAAGAACACATACTGGTCATGCGAGACGGCGGGGCCGGCAAAGGTGCGTTGAGGAACTATTGCACCTACCTCTCCGCTAGCAGTCGGTATTTCCCGCGGCACTGTAGTCGTAGAGTCTGGGTCGTAAACCTCGACATCTCCTGCCCGTTGGAGCAGATTCGTCGCCTGGCTGCTGTTGGTCTTATGCTGATCAATCT